TGGTTAATTATTTGACCACATATAAGTTATCATTGTATTTTTTTAGAGTTGAAATCAATCGAATTAAGCGAGAATCCCGATATTATATTTGGGATGATCCTTATTTATGGAAGCACTGCTCAGATCAAGTAATTCGGTGATGTATTGTCTAAAATAATCAATTTTACAATTTTGTCACTCTTACTCTTGTGTGGTCATTTTGGGCCAAAACGTACACCTCATAAAATTCTTGAATGTGGTTTCTTTTGGCCTCACATCTTTTGGGATTCTTATTTGTTCTGTAAAACTTGTGAGAGATGTTAATGTACAAGTAATTTAAGCCGTAGAAATGAGATGCTACTAAATCCGGTACAAGTTTGTGAAATTTTTTATGTTTGGGGAATCGATTATATGGGTCCTTTTATTTCATCATTTGGAAATGCTTATATTATTCTAGCTGTAGATTATGTTTCTAAAAGGGTGGAAGCTAAGGCCACTTGGAACAATGATGCTAAAACTACAATTAATTTTTTGAAAATTTTATTTTTTCCAGGTTTGGCACGCCACATGATATAATAAGCTATAGAGGAACATATTTCATAAACCGAGTGATCGAATCACTGATGAAGAAATTTGTAGTAACTCAAAGAATTGCTACTTCTTACCATCCATAAACAAATGGAAAGACAGAAGTATCGAATCAGGAAATTAAAATAATTCTTGAAAAATTGGTAAACTAGACCGAAAAGATTGGAGTTTAAAATTAACTGACGCACTTTGGGCATAGCGAACCACTTATAAAGGTCCCATTGGGATGTCACAATACTGACTTGTTTTCGATAAACCGTGTGACTTGCTAGTTGAATTGGAACATCAGGCCTATTGGGCTGCTAAAAGTGTAACATGGACATGGATGCGATTGGTGAAGCTCAAAAATTACATATTCAATAACTTGAGGAAATCCGAAAAAATGCCTATGACAGTGCTAGAATATTTAAAGAAAAAACAAAAGGATTTCATGATAATCGATTTTCTTTTAAAACATTTTCTGTCAGTCAAAAGGTTCTGTTATTTAACTCTAAATTTAAACTTTTTGCAGGAAAACTCAAATCAAAGCAGCTCGGACCGTTTATAGTAACTCAAGTATTTCCTCACGGTGCTCTTGAAGTTGAAAATAACTCAGGAGTTCGGTTTAAAATTAATGGTCAAAGATTGAAGTTGTATTATGAAAATGTTCTGGTTGGTCTAATAGAAGAAATCAATTTAGAGGAACCCACAATTTAAAAAATCAGGTCGTCGAGCTAACGACGTTAAATAAAGACGTTTAATGGGAGGCAACCCATTTCATTTTATTTTGTTTTATTTTTAGCAAACTTTATTTCATTCCATTTATTTTGTTTTGTTTTATGAGATGCTCAATTTTATTTTATTTTTCTCTGAATAGGTTCAAATTCCGATCGAATATATAATGAAGGAGCAGTGTCTCACGTCTAGAGACAAAAAGAAGACGCACGTTAGCATAGCCCAACCCCATGTGGCGCACGTTAGCCCCATCTTTTCCCCAGCCGTACGACAAGCAACACTTATTCTTCTTCTTTTTCTTTCACCAATTTGCCTCCATGCTAATTACGCCACCACCGGCGAATCATTGCGCCACTTCCCCCACATCAGCCTACTTGTTTTTCTTTAATCCAAGATGGTGAGAACACGCAACCAAGCCAACATTGCCGAGGTTCTTTCTTACCTTCGTCTGGGCTCGTCTCGACGTGGTCGTTGCCGCAGTCGCCACTAGATCGGGGAGTAATCCATTTCTCTCTCTTTGTTTTTAAATTTGATATATGTTTTGAGACAAAAACGGATTAAGTGAGGGGGGAATGATAAGCATGTCAAAATTTTCCTTGACTTGTTTGATTGTTTGAAATTAAGTTATTCTGATATTGATGTGTTGGGATCGTTGGTTTCTATTCTTGAACTTCACTTTATATTCTTGCTTCCTTTTGGATTGTGTCCATGTTTTTATTGAATTTAATTTGCATGATGGTGATTGGTATAGCTGGTGAATTTTTTGTTAAGTATAGTTATTTCATGCTTTTGTTGATAGAGATGAATTTGACTCAGTGCATATAAACTTTTCTTGTGAGATTTGAGCCTAACGAGTATACGTTTTCTTTCATTCTCATTGTTTGAATTGAGTGTGCCAGACTAATTAGGATATTCTAAAACTTGTAATCACAATGCACATCGAGACTATATGTTGAATGTAATGTTTAAATGTGATAGGGGCACTTAGGATAAACCCACTTTTTCCAAAAAGCCTACCCATTTATATATCCACTAGTGAACCACATTTGAGCCTATTTCCTTTCTTTTTTTTATACCTCATAATTAAACCTGAAGCCTTTCTTTTTATTTTTACTCTCTTTTCACACCCTTGCCGAGAATTGAGATTTTTTATCACTCTTGTTCCACGAAAAAAGTCAAAAAAAAATTGTTCACTGTTTCGAACAACAGAAAAAAAGAAGAAAAAAGAGACATTGTTCAAATGAAAAAAAAAGGAAAAAATAAGGAAAATCGATCGTTTCAATTGCCTTTCATTTATTCTTTTTGCTTGTTTTATTTTTCATTGTGCTTCATGTTAGTTCGTGGATTGTTCCTAATTGATTTAATCTCTTGTCTTGGTACTTAAACCGATCATCATGACCTTTTCCCTACCCTAACCTAAGCCCCATTACACCTTGTTTAAAGACCCCTTTATTAATGCAATATGTTCATTTTTAGTAGTGGAGACTTGATTAGATTCCAAGCCTATGGTAATATTCTGGTTAGTTTCGGTTTGAGCGATTTCATTTACCCCAAACACTTTGAGCGGATATGTGTGAATCTATGTGAGGTATTGAGTCATGTTTCATTGAAGTTGGCAATTAATTGGGATATCTTGATTGCTTTAAATTTTCTTAGATGTGTCTTAGCTTGATTGTACATTGAATTCGGCAATTGTCATGGACTTAGTTCGATTGGAAGTTTGAGAAATAAATTGAAATTGAAGATGGAAACTTGTGATTTTGATATGGTAATTGAGGAATGCTTGAGGACAAGCATTGAATAAGTGAAGGGGAATTTGATAAGTGCTTTATTTAGTAATTATTTTGCTTTTAAATTGCTCCAAAAATAATTAGTTTTTGTAGCTTAATTGTTCGTTTTGATTCATTTTTTGTGTAGGACTCCAGATTTTGGAAATTGCACTAAAATGACAGAATTCTGCAGTTTTTTTATTTTCGGAATCAAAGTTGGATTAATGGGCGTGACTTTGGGCATGAAACATCTGACGAGGCGATGACATCAACTCCTTCTAGAAGGTCCAGTTAGCGCTTCTAGAAGAACGAATGGATCAGCCACAACAATTCAAATTTGAATTAAACTCATGTTTTATGATATTATTTTAAATATTATATTATATTTTATATTATCTTTGTTTTAGGTATTTTAGTTTAAATAGTTTTAAGTATTTTAATTATGATTTATTTTCTTTATTTTAGGATTATATTTACCTTGTTTTTAGAATTTTGAAGGCAATAAATACCCTATCAAGGTAAGCCTAGAAACATATATCTCAACAACTGAGAATTTACTTTTTTTTCTTCTCTCTAGCTTTATAAAATTCTCTCTTTTATTTTCTTTCAAGTTTTTATTTTATTTTAAAGTTTTGTTTTAAATATGCTAAGCATGACTTTTGTCATGCTTAGCTAATTTTCTTTTAAGCCGAAGGCTAAAGCGATGAGTCAATTCTAAACGTGAGAATTGTAAAACACTTAAATCGCTTCGGATATCTCTCTTTGTTTTATGGGCTTATTTTCAAATCAAAACAATTTTCAAAACCAAAAGTTGACGTTGGTCTGGATGTTGTTATGGTTAGCGTGGGAGGAATGATCGGCTTATTGAAGCACATTCGACTTCCTGAGAACACACTTAGCAAAATTGTTTGTTAAGAGGAAACTAAGATCGGAATAAGTTATTGTTGAAACAACATAATCCGAGTCGGCAGCTTTTCGAGCCTCAACGTTTTTATATCTACAACATTTTTTGTTCTTAGATCAATTCACAAACCAATATTGAAGATTGCACTTGGGTATTCGGTATACAAAAAACATTCATAAGGATTTGTCTTTGTAGACAAGTAACTGACGTGAATCCTGAAGTAAAGATCTATTTCGATGATCTAAGGAAATTGAGTCAAAGTTGAAAGTCTGAAGCTACTTTTCACAATAAGTTATCTTTTCAAACTCAAATTACTATTTTATTCTATTTATTATTATTTGTCTTTATCTTATTTTCAAACAGTCTTTTAAAATCCCCTATTTTATTCTTATCTTACCTTTATTTTTATATTTTTATATTTTTTTAATAATTAATTTATTCCCTATCCAAACTCTACTGTTCAAAAATAAAAGGATAACTAAATTAGAAACTGAATAGTTTCTGTGGGATCGACACTTACTTTCCGCTTGTCATATTTTCTTTATAATTCTTTTGGGATTAAAGAACTACTTTGACGCAAAAACGACACGTGTCAGAGGTTATTAGCTCTGCTAGGGAGGTTGTAGCGAAAATCTTTAGCAAAGATATAGTGAAATCGAACCTAAACCCACAACTGCGTATACCATGAGGTGTTAAGGATTGAATTTCATTCTTTGTAGATTCATTTGTATTATTTATCTGTAACTTCTTGTTTCTTTTAGATTATAATACATACATTTTATAAAAAAATAATTTTCTAAGAATTCAAATAGAAAAGCGTAGAGATAAACACATAATTGAATTAACTAAAAATAACATTCAAATTAGAAGGGGATAAACATAACGCTAAAGTCAATACCCGAACCAGTACCACCACCCTTGCTAATTGGTAAGGACACAATTTTAGGCCTTAACAGAAAGCATGGGTCACAACTGGTGCGCTCTTGACTCCACCTGTACCCAAGGTAGTCCATCGATAGTCCACAGCTAATATTTACACTCTTATTTACCACATAAGATCACTGCAACTCCTATATAACTTTGAAAATTCCACTACTTTATTTTCAATAAATTACCAATAACTTCCCCAATTTTATCATCCCATCTTCAAATTCATAAAGAAATGAGGATGTTGTGGGTAATTCACGAAGAACCTAGACCTTATTTTTCTAGGGCATCAGCAGCCTCACTGCAAGAGCCTGAAGCATTTCCTTTTACAAGGCAGCTAGGGTTACTACTACTGCTACTCAGAGCTGCTCTGATTTGGTGAACGGCTGTGCATAAATGGTTGTTGATGGCGGCAATGCTCGAGAGATTGATCTTTGCTGATGGAACTGTGCTGGCAAGAACTTGAAGTCCAACAGTGAGTAAACTGCCTGCAGACCTATGCCCATTGGCCTCTTCAGTACTGCCAGCTTCTTTGATGAGTTCCATTGGGGTTACAAAAAAGCCCAAGGGAAGCAATGGGATGCAAGATTGGTCCTCCCCATTCATAGCAAGGTGAACGGAATCAACATCGACAGTTGAGTACACAACGAGGCTACCGGATCGGTCCGTGCAGCTCTCTTGCAGCATTAGCCCTACTTGTTGTGAAGAGTTGCTCGCGACCTGCATGTAAATAGTTTGCAGCTTGGTCATTTCAAGTCGAAGAAAGGAAAAAGAATTCAGAAATTAAAGTTTATTACATCGATTCTAAGAAGTGAAATGCAGTTTCCGGGATGTGCGCCATTAGCAATGTGAGCCACCTCATGTAAAGCATTCCCATTTGAAAGTACCTCCAGCTGCATAACATTCCATTAAAATGATGCATTTTGAGAGGAAGTGATAGATTGATATGTATATATATAAAACTAAATGGAACCTGAGCTCTGCGTCGTTCATCCCTCAAAAGATCAAAGACATGGTGGTGAGGATATGGCAGCCAGGTAGTGGAAACAACACAAAGAATGAGACCATTTGGTTGGCCTGGTTCAGTGACTTCCCTTGTCGTGATTCTAACAGTATCATCATCGGAGGAGTCTGGAATAGCAGTCCATAACTGACCGCCGGAGCTGCTGATGTTGACACAGAATGTCCTTATCATCCTTTGAGCAAGTCTCATTAGATTCTTCCTTGCTTCAGGTGATGGAATCACTGAAAGTGAAAGAACTAAGGGGTGTATATCTCATTAAAATGGAAACCAAATCATTAAAAAAATATTATTTTTTGAACCTCCTATGTCAGTGATATTTCTGGCCAGGAGGCTTGCAATCCTTTCGCATTGCCTCTCTAGAACAGCTAACCAACGATTTGCTCCAAAAGCCATCCCACTCTGAACGAAATGGCTAAATATCTGATGGATAGGTTTCTCCTCTATCTCTGCACGTTCAACCCATGTAACCTGAAATTATGTCGAATATCAAGTCATGCACAACTTCAATTGGAAACAATTATGTACACAAGAGAAAGATATTATTCACGCACCCTTGAGTACCCGTTAGGCATGTCATGAATTAAACAGCCAGATGGTCTTCTCTTGTATAAGGGAAATGAAGACTGTAAGTTATTATGAAAGCCATCCAGTGGGAAGTCAACAATTGCCCAGTACGTTTCATCGTCCAGATTTTGCTGTTGGCAATAACGAAGGAAATACGCCTCTCGAGTGGGCAGCAATGGAGATAGTACTTGCAATTCTGCATACATCTGTTCAAACAACTTATTAGGTGGACTACTACAAGTTTAAAGAATAAAATGTAGACATAGCATGAAATGCGAGTGTATACCAGCTGAAGGCAACCATCTGTTCCCGAAACACCTGGTGATATGACTTGAACACTTTTGGCTCTAGCAACTATAGAGGGGAAGAGCTCGGTCCATTTGTTCTACAATAACACATTTTAAAAAGAGACTAATTTATACTATCAACTATGGCCATCATACGAAATTTTCAAAGAAAATTCAAGGAAAGGCAGCGTACGGCATCAAGGAACGCATCTACTAAAGTCATGCTATTCATTATAACGACTGCTCTATCACGGCTAGCTTCAATCCTGAACTCACTTGAGCGCTGCTCGAGATTTAAGGGCCAATGGAACACCTTGGCATGCTCTTCGAGGTTAAGTAATTCCTTACCATTTTCTATGTTTCGGATCCAAAGAGGTTCATTTGTTCGGCACATCTTCACAAGTTCATCCACGGCAGACATAGCAAGCTCCATGGCAATAGTTTTCTCCTCCGCCATTAAAAATAGATTATTATTCTCGGGAAAAGAGGCTGCTTCAGACAGTATAGGAGCCATAGGCTCAGGGAAATGCCTTGGATACATGTTCATGTCCAAATCTAATGAAGGTGGCATCAATGCACCCATTGTTTGGATTGGTCGCCCCATATATCGTGAGGCAATGGCGCAGACACGTTCCAACTGTTAAAACATATCAACATTGACAATGGAGTTAGGTATTGTTAAAATTGAGTAGACTTTATCATTGCTTTGAACCTAATATGATCAATTATTGACAGATAATATGTATAACCTCTTCTCCAAGACGAGCGTTCTCTATACGAAGCTCTTCAAAGGAAACCCCTCCAGGCACAGGTGGACCGTCACAATTCGGACAAATAAGTTTGCTGAGTTCAGCTTGAAGCAGGAAGAACTCATTCTTGAGAGACTCATTCTCAGCTCTAAGTATGGCATTCTCAGATCGATGTTGTTGAGCCTGACAATCAATTTAACATAAATTATATCCTTAAGAGCCATAATGAGTATACATAAATTATATAATCTGCATTAACTTTGAGAACCCTTTGGGAAGCAAAGGAGCAGGTAAATGAGTTTAATGCTGAACCCAGTCAACATTTATGAATACAGACTGTAGTTGCAGTGGCCCCAAATAAAAGAAGATGCTTCATTTTCAGTGGTTTAGGGTTTGAGATGGTTTTTCATGCAAACCCATCAACGCGTTTCCTTGGGACTCGGGCTATTTTGTTTTTCAGTATGTGCAGAGAAGAGATGAAACTATTAAGTTATTTTCATTTCACCTTCATCTGAGTGCGGCGATTTTGGAACCAAAACTTGACTTGGCGAGGCTTAAGGCCAAGTTCTTGGCTTAGTCTCATCCTTTGCTTGTCATCAGGATGGGGACTCTCCCTGAAAACACTGCAAAAAAAAAAAAAAAAACAAAACAAAACAAAAAACAAAACAAAAAAAAGAATCAGACGAATTTTGGATCTCAAACTTGATCTTTCATAGCTTTTTCTGCATGTTCTTTGCTTGTAATAAAAAGAGTTAAAGATAAGTGGGAAATACGCTTCCAATTCTTGGATCTGGCGAGCAGTGTGTCGATGGTAACGTTTTTTCTTGAGGGGTTGCTCGCTGCTATTCTCTTCATTCCCAGTCTTGTCTTCAGCCTGTAGTTCATTCCCAGACCCGCTTTCCATATCCTCTTTCCCTCCCAGCAATAACCCATTTTCTTCTTTCTGGTTTAACCCCAAAAAAGATAAAATAAAATGAACAAATAGTGCTACAAGTTAAGCAAGAACAAGGGAAGATGATAATTTGAATGACTTACAGGGATCATAGGAGGGAAAGGTTCGAGAGGCAAGAAGTTGAAATTAGGGTTTTGAAATGTTGAATGAAAACAAGGTTTCTGAAGCGATCACGTTCCTTGCCATTGATGAAATGACTTGATAATCTTCATACATTTTTTTAACTTCACTAAAGTAGTGCTCTTGGTGCACCTGCAACAATCAAATAGTGTAAGACAGAAACATTTTCACATGAAAAAGAAGAAAAAACACCCTTCAAGGGAAAGTAAACATGCACTGGTTGAACCATAGAAGAAACTACTTTAACCCAAATGTACATGTGAAAAAAATTGTGAAGAAGCAGGCTGTAATATATCAGAAAAGAGAAAATCACTGTAAAATTGAAGACGGATGATGTGATCCTTTCCGAAAAAGAAAAGAAAAAGACCACAGCTTCACCTTCAAAACCACTGTAGCTCAACCAAAAACAAAAATGAAAATTGATAAAATGAAAACACTCCATGAACAAGAGTTTGACAAATTAGTTCAAGCACCATAAGAGTTAAACCGAGAATATTAAAGTTAAATAATAATACCACGACCAATGTTGTCGGTTTTTCTTTGCAGAAGAATAAGAGTAAGAGGAGAACAAAAACACTACCTTTTTTTTCTTTTCTTTATACCTAAAATAACACTTACAGATACGCCCTTTGTAAATATATTTAGGGTAAATTACATGTTTAGTATATAAACTATAACCTTTGTTCTGCTTTAATACCTAAACTTTATTTTTTTAAACTCATACCTAAAATTTAGTTTAAATTTCAATTTGGTATCATTTGTTAAAAATTTAATGGCACCGATGATATGGAATTAACATTACAGAACACGTGGAATATCAGAAAAGGAAATATAATTCCACATCATCAGATCATCAGTGACATTAAGTTTTTAACGGCGAGTACAAAATTGAAACTTAAACTAAACTGTCGTCATGTATAAATTAAAACTTAAACAAAGGTGATAATTTAAATACTAAATGTGTAGTTTACTCATACATTTATTTACACCAATAAATATAAAGGAAATTGGGTAAACTACGCGTTTAGTACATAAATTATCAAATTTTGGTTTATTTTAGTACCCTAAACTTTAAATTTTTTCAAAACCATAACTAAAGTTAAGTTTTTGTTTCATTTTAGTACAAAAAGCTTAAGTTATGAAAAAAATGAAATTTTAAAATTTAAAATTTTCAAAAACTAAACACGTTTAGTACTTAAATCATATTTAATTTTTTAAAAAACTTAAAGTTTAGATATTAAAACAGATCAAAACTGATAGTTTAAATACTTCCCTCATAATTTTACCAAAAAAAAAATTAATTACCAAGGATTGTACTGCAGTTTCATAGAAACCAAGCAACGCCGCTTACTCCGTTACTGTCCTTTTTATTCCAACCACGTGCCCGTTTTGGTAATAAAAGGATTGTGATCCACTCTTTATACGTTTCCCTAATTAAATAAAAAAAAATATAAGGTCAACCTTCCTTATTACACGCGCATGGCTAATACCGTGAAGTTGAAGTTCGTTTGATTGTGATTCCTTATGTACTTTCACGCTCTCTTTTCGCGTGTGCGTTATGTTTTTTTTTTCTGTGAATCTTTTACTTGGGTTTGAAAAGAAGTCAAAAGGAAAAATTTAAGAAGGAAATGTTTAAAAGTAGTCGAGTGATCAAAGCCGTCCATTAGGGATGGTGGGATCCATCGTTGAAAAAGGCTTACTATGTAGAGTTGATAATTTTTCTTTTTCAAATTTGTGCATTTGGAAATAATTATCAAATTGATATTTAGTTTTGACGTGACATTTAAATAATTAATCGGATTATGATATATAATACTTATTAATAATTTTTATCCAAATATATTTTAAATAAGAATTTATAAGTGATTTCGGTGATCAATGAGAGTGTTGTTCTCTCTAGAGGGCCTGGATTCGGACAATTACGTTTGGAGAATATGTGTTTTATCAATGATTACGAGAGATTATAAATATATATATTACATTGTAATCATCCAAATTATTCAAAAAATATATATCTTAAATAAATACTTTTTACTAATACTCATTTACAGTTAATTATCGATATAACACTCTTTTATTCAAAGCGAAAGCGATTAATTCATACGTGATAAAATCGCTTTACGTGAAAAATGTCTTTTGCTGAGATGAACAAATATTTAAAAAATCTTCATATATGAACCCTTTTATAAACCCCAATACAATCCCAATTTTAAAACTGAATATTGGTTTAGTGTTTTATTCTTTTATTATTAAATTTAAACTTAAAGTTATATAAAAAAAAAATTTAAACTTAAAGTTTTAAAAAAATCCCTAAAATATTCTTATTTTGTATATTATGTTCCTAAATTATTATTTTTTGGTCAAAATAAATCTTAAAATTTTGGAGCGTTTTTTCACTATGAGATACAAATAATGGACCTCTGTAGAAAATTATTGGCCTATTTGGTTGTATGTTTGATAGCATAAAACATAATTGTCAGAAAATGACTAGACAAGATGATCATGTAAAAAAAATTTGTTACAAATGGAAAGAGTTTCTTGTGAAACGAGTCTTCTCATTGTACAAAGAATCTCTGCATTATCTATTCACTATGGGTACAAGTCATAGACCTTTGTAGAGAACTATTCAAATATGTCTCTATGTTTGAAGCATGATATATATAATTGTAGCCCTCACATCCCTATTTGTTATCCATCATTTTCATTATGCCATAGAGAACCTTTGTTGTGGACCCCACTCAATAAATCACTTCCTCACTTCTTCAATGACATCTAAAATATTATTGTATGATCTCCTAAATGATATATTGTATGAGATTTTACGATATACTACTGAGAATTATATTGAAAATTTATCACATCTTCGCTTAACTTGTTAAAACTTTTATTTGGCTTCAAATTTAATGTGTATATTTGAAAATGTTCGATTGTGTGGATATACCTTGAAATCTTTGGATCGTTTTGAATGCTTACTGTTCAAAAAAAAATCTGGAATGTATAATATAGAGTTTTCCCAAGTATTGTATATATGTCAATATCATGGGTAATGTTTTGAAAGAAGTCTCTAGAATGGATCTAATTGAATAAACTTATGCTTAGGATATAAAGCAATTTAGGCTATAGTATATGTCCGATATAATAATTTAAGGACTTGTTTTGACAAAAAAAAATTAAGGACTTAATGAACAAAATAGAATACTTTAGGAAATGTTTTGAACTTTATGCCTAAATTTAATAACAATAAAATAAAACCCTAAATCACTATCTAATTTAGAAAATTGAGGTTATTATAGGGTTTATAAAGCGATTCCTACTGTAAGTGTCTTTGAGGCATTTGTCCACTTCAGCAAAAAGTGCTTGCCACGTAGGCATTAAGCGTTTTGGCTGAATGAATGTTATATTAGGAATTAATCGTGAATGAGTGTTATTTTGATAGAAAAATATTTGAGGTATATTTAGGTTAAAAAAAACTCTTATAAACGTTAATATTTTGTTCATGTCAGCAGCTTAATTGGTTGTTGAGGTGATATGTATCAATTTAAGAATTCTTTCATCGATATAAAATATCAAGTATCTATTTAAGAAAAATTAACACTTCAAAGTACCAATTAAGCTAATATATCATAGAAAAATGTAAAGGGTAAACATATCAAAGTCTTCCATTTTAATTACAAGTGAGTCCTTAAAGAAATTTTTAAGTTTTTTCGTTGTTATGGAAATGTTCCATATTGTTTCAAACCTTTAAGTCACTTAAAATTAAGATTTCAAAAGAATTGCATGTTCTAATGGTATTGGTGTTGTTTCCTTCATAATTCAGTCAATTCAAAATTAATTATAACTGTCAATTGGAGAATTTAACTTTAAATGATCTCGTTTCTCATTGTATGCTAAAGGAAGAAAGGTTGAAGCATGACAAATTTAAAAGTGGTCATTTGGCTAGTGCATCTAAAAACAAGAGAAAGAAAAGAAAAGAAAACATCAAAATAAAGTCGTTTGGGTCCAATTTAAAAGTGACAACAATAATTTATAGAAAATTATTTCTTTGTAACAAATCTGGGCACATGAAGAAAGAATGTACCACCTGTAGATACTCGATTTGTCCGGGGTTATGTCGGAGCAGACCCGAAGCAATGGCAACCTAACTCGACGCCAAACCAGTTGAAGGCCCAACTCAAGCCCAACGACCCAGCAGAGCAGCTTCCAACCCACGTGAAGCCTTGGAAAACAAAAGTGGTTATTAGAAGTTATCCAAATATTAGGGTTCATAATCGCATAAAGAAACTGTAAATAGGGGTTGGTTTTATTTGAGAATTAACTACTAGAAAGAGGGATTAACCACTGAAAACGAGAGGAGACGAAAACAAAAAAAATTAACCGAGACGATCAGAGAGATTACACGCAGAAAAACAAAGAAAAATCAGAGAGATATCAATAACCCATCACCATTATGAGAAGAACAGAGACCATTTTTATTTGTTTTTTTACATAATAGAGCAAGAACGAAAAACAATGTGTAAAGTTTTATTTTCCGAAAGGCAATAGAAGCAAGTTTTGTTTTATATTATTCTCCCAACCGAAGGAAAGTTCGCAAAGGGCAATATCATATTCTCAAGCCAAACACAACACCAAACACAGAAAGTGTTAACAGGGAGGTATTTATTGTATTTTTTCCCTTTTTACTTTCTAATATTCGTGAATGTGTGTGGTATTTGTTTGGAAAGAAAATAAGGGTTAGAAGCTTACCGATTTGAGTCACCGGGTTGAGATCGAAGCATTGAGAGTTGCTCGGGAAACCTTGCATATGAGTTAGGGGTTAGTTTCTAGATTGGGGTTTTTAAATAAGAAAGAGTGAAGGCTAGAGTGATAACTCG